GTAAAAACTAAATTTATCTTCTGATTTATAAATATTTATAAGAGGACATGATGAACAAAGGTTCATTCTTATGAATAGGAGGAAATTTATTATTGTACAACTACAACTAGTTACGATGTGCAATATGATGCATTGATGGTACTTTTGGTGTACAAGGAGTGGTAGTCGTGGGAAGCTGCTGGTGGTAAATGGTAATGAGGAGAATTATCTTTTTCCGCAGATACTGAGAAACTAAGTCTATAATTTTTTTCTTCTGCTGTTGTAACCTGTGATCAATAACTAGAAGGAGATAACATTGCTGTTTGGAACTGTTGACGTAATGTAATACAAAAGACAAAACACTAATCTGTATGCATACTAATAGTAGACTCTTAATTTCAATTAAGGAAACAAATCATGAAATATAGAAACACTACTCAGAGATCATCTATGATGTTTTAAAAGTATTCTAAAATTCAATAATGATATTATGAGATATTTTTAGATATTCTAACATGAATGTTCTTCCCTTTCTCATGCTTTGATAGCTTGAGGGACAAATAATTTGCTAAGCATTCTGTTATCAGCTTTTTGAGGTGGTGTTATCTGGAATTATGAGATGATTTTTGCGGGAAGATTAGGGTAATGATCTTGCATTTGAAATTTTTAGTAAAGCATCCAAAATTGTGCTTGTGTGCCCTTTATTGGACTTCCGATAAGCTTGCATTAGCATGTGATATAGATGTCTGCTACAATGGTTTCATAGCAAGGATTATTTGCTAGAGTGGGATGGGTAGGTATCACTTCTTCATCACGATTTAGCCTAATTTTTATTTAGGAATGCTTGGTAGATGTAAAAACAGCAAAGAATAGGAAGAGAGTCCTTTTATTTCAGAGATTTCTCAAGTAAAAGGGCTGTATTTTTCATTTTTGTTCCTTTATGTGTATACCTCCACCATTGTACCATTCAGGGCTTCATAGTAAGATGAAGTTTTTGATTTCTTTTGCAGCTTAACCACAGCCGACAAAAGATTCTGCTCGTGACGATGTTTCCCTCTCTCTCGCTTTGTTTTTTTTTTTGTTTTTTCAATGTTATTAGCTTTATTGCCATTTGGGTTGTGGTTGGGTCTGTTTTTCTTCCATTTAGTTAAACTATGTGCCTGTGGTAATTCTTTTTTTCTGTTGTCAGGGATCAAATTTAACAAAGTCAATAGCTAAGATGTCTTTTTGGTTCAGTTGTTTTCAAATTCTTTTAATTCACAGAATAAATATAAGCAACCGTAATAAAATATGAAACGAGATGAATTTTATTTGGTAGTATAAATGTGGTATATATCTGCACTGCCTTATATGGCTCAAGACATTTATTAGTTTGAGCCTTCAGGGTGTTTAAACGTGGTTAGCAACATGCTTACAATATCCACCACCAATACTGAGTTAATTAGCTTGATACAATTATTTCTCTCATCTTCATTTTCTTCTTTATTAAGGATAAGGGCATTTTTGTAGAAGAGATTTACAAGCACTTCCTATTTTAAGCTGTTCAAAATCCCACTGTCTCCTTAGTTTTGTACTCAAGGTGCTTTTATTGTCTATCCTTCATGCATGGTTGTCTTGCAGAATGCATGTTAGACTTTCAAAAACATTTGGCTGATAATTATGCAGCGGTATTGTATTTGGCCCACTTTGTTATGGCTTTTTATTTTTATTTTTTATTTTTTCAGAGACACAAGGGAGAACCGCTTCGCGTATACATGGATCTCGAAGCTGGCCGAAAGAGATCAGGCCGAGAGGATATATATATTAGTTATCATGCTGAAGATGATGTACAGTCAACCTATGCTGGTACTCTGTTTCACAACAGTCGTAACTATTACATCTCCAACAAGAAAAACAACGTAAGTAGTTTACTGAGAAGATAATTAAATGACAGATTAAGAAAGAGGGACTCATAGTAACCTAACCCAATTTATCATTTGTAGGAGAAACTTGTTTATTGGTCTTCATCACGATGTCTTTCTCAAAGGGATGAACTTGCAAAGAAGTTCCTTGGCTTGGTGCCGCATCATTCATTTGGCAAGTGCCTAAATAATGTTGGTGGATCAAACGTGGCTCTTTCTTTCTATCCAGAATGTGCATATGATGCCAACGTTGAACCGAAATGGTGGGATCATATACATTGTGCCATGTCTCACTACAAGTTTGTTCTTGCAATTGAGAACACTTTTACTGAAAGTTACGTGACGGAGAAGTTATTTTATGCCTTGGACTCCGGTGCAGTTCCTATCTATTTTGGTGCACCAAACGTCATGGATTTTGTTCCTCCACATTCAATCATAGATGGTAGTAAATTCAGCTCGTTGGAAGAATTGGCTACATACGTGAAGGCCGTGGCTAATGACCCATTAGCCTATGCAGAATACCATGCATGGAGAAGGTGCGGTGTATTGGGTAACTATGGAAAAACCCGAGCAATGAGCCTTGATACATTGCCATGCAGGTTATGTGAGGCTGTTAGCAGAAAAGGTGGTAGAAGTGCAAGAAGCTAGGTTGCAACCTGTATAGGCGCACACTTGCTTCACTTATCTAAGTCATTCGACCAAAAAAAAGGAAATAAAAATCAAAGAAAAGTTACGGAAATATATCATTATTCCCCCCCCCCCCCCCCCAATTTCTGATAGAAAGTTGTTAATGTTGCTATCTCCACCTAGTCAATCTAGACTACACTATAGTTAGTTGTTGTTTATTATGTATAATTTTTAAGAAACACGGACATATGTCAACTTGCAATGACACTATGACAATTCATGAACGAAATGCAAACATCAACCTTCATTCAATTGAATTGGCGGATTGGACCAGTTGGAACAATAATATGTAACGTTATATGAATAGTTGTAATGTTTGAGCAATTTTGCTTAAAATAACAGCAAACGATGCAACCTAAATCCACTCCAAAACACCCTCATCCTTTTCACTTTCGGCCACTAATCGAAACAAGGTCTATTGTGGCTATGGGGTAAATGGGTTGGGCGCAGACCTATTCCTATTTGAGCTTGAACTTACCTATTTTTATTTTTATTTTTGGATAAAAAAAATAGGAGAATTCCAAAAACAAATAAGAATAGGTCTGACCTATTTAAACCAAAGTCTAATCTTATCTTGAACTCACCTATTAGGTTGATATAAGCTAGATCGCCTATAGTAAAAAAAAGATGATATTATTTCTATATTTTTTATGTCTATTTTTTTTCCAATATCATTAAATTATAATCTCAGTTGAACTTTACATTTTCTCTCTCCTCTCATTATTTGATAAAATTGTGATCTAACAGTGAAAGTAAATAAAGCATTGAAAAAGATGGGCAATATCCTATACCATTAAAAAATCAAAAAAATTCACATATTAGTCTATTTAAGCCTATCAAATTTTCAATACATATTAAGAATTATAAAATATAAATGAACTAATATTATTTTATATATTTAATTATTAAATATTTATTTTATTATTTTAATTAAAATACAATAGGCCAAACTTTGCAAAAAATCAATAAACTTATTATTTTATTTATTTTCAATATCTAACTTATTATTTTAGTTAGACCTGACTTGACATAGGTGGCATTATATGCCCTTCGTAAGCCGGTTCCGTCACATTTAAACATCTAATTGTGGCTAAATAATGTTGCAACCAACCCAATTCTTGGTTCTTTTAAATAAAGAAAAAAGAAAAAGAAAGTAGTATTGGTCTATGGAGTTGAGAACCCGACCCATTTATTCTGAGACGATCCATTTCCATTGGCTCTCCAAATCAACGGTCTCATCTCATATAGCACTGGGATGAAGAAGCAAAGCGGTTCCAGACTCACACCGTTTTCTTTTTTTTATAAGAAAAAAAAAAAATAAAAAAAAAAAAAAAAAAGAAAGCCCATGAGCCTAGCTTTGAAAACAGCGACTAGCCTTGTTGTGCTACTTCCCAGACCGAAGCTGAGTTGTTTGTCACTAACACGAACCGTTGTTGTTCCTCTCCACTCTCACCGTCCCGCCAAAACCCTTATACGAACCACAACGCCGTCGTTTCAGAGTATCGTATGCGCACCAATGTCTACGCAGCAGGTTTTCCATGTTCGTGACAAGATTGAACTCTCCGACACCGAGAAGAGCATCTTCGATAGGCTTCTCGCCACTCTTCGTCACTTCCAACTCCAAACTCAGCTCCGAGTCGCCGGTGGCTGGGTTCGCGACAAGGTCCTCACTAACTCCGAAAATGGCTAGCTAGCCCTAATTCATTTTTTTGCTTCTTCCATTGATTCGTTTCGTGTTTGATTGGTTTTGCAGCTTCTGGGAAAAGATTGTTACGATATTGATATCGCCCTTGACAATATGATGGGTGCTGAGTTTGTGTATAAGGTCAAGGAGTACTTGTTGTCCATTGGGGAAGATGTACAGGGAGTTTGTGTTATTGAGTGGTATCTTTCTAATTTGTTCCCTATGCACTTTTTCTTTCCATCTCCATAAATAGTGCTTTTACATAACAAGGTTTTCATTGTCAATTTGACCAGTTTAACTTATTTTAGTAAAATAGCTGATAGAAATTACATGTTTTGATATCCGTAACAACAAAATTACTACTAGTGCAGTAGTGCGTCATAAATTGAAAAGAAGAAGAAGAGTAAAGTAATGCAATGTTTAGAAGCTAGATAATTGATATCTAAATCAAGCAAATCACAGCATGATTTTCATTTTTCGAAACAAATTCGTACTGTGCATATCTAAGTAAGCAATTCTTAACGTTAAAAGTGAGAAAGTTTAGCATAATCTTAATTTTTGAATTTGATAAGTATTGCTGAGCTTGACTCGATTGCATGTTACGATGCGGAGTTGACACATTCTTGTCACTACTGTTAATGAACTAATAAACTCACGAGTTTGACAACCTTGCTTAATACATACTGATATGCTCTACATTGGTTTTCAAAATTTGTGATATAGTAACAGTGTACTTGGGAACAATGAAGAAGTGATTCTTTTGATGATATCGATTTTTTTTGTTTTTGTTTATGTGGTTACTTGTGCAGCCATCTGTGGATAATTTTTGGGTCTTACTGTTTAGTCTCCATTTTTCTTCTTATTCTTACTTTTCCTTTCAAAACTATCTCTTCATTTAGTCCTCTGGTCATAAATTGCAATTCACATAACTTTACAACTGGGAATCACAGGCATTAATGTATGTTTTGGTTGCATTTTTGACCTTTTTCAGAGAACATTATTTAATTACTCTTTTTTGCAGTAACCCTGACCAGTCCAAACATTTGGAAACAGCCAGGATGCGTTTGTTTGATACATGGATTGATTTTGTTAACCTAAGAAGTGAAGAGTACACTGAGAACAGCCGCATTCCTTCTAAGGTATATAATTTGCATTCTATAGTTCAGTCTTCAGGTTTTCTACAGGTTACTTATTCTGCTGTGCTTGCAAATTTGCATAATGTGTTTTTTTTTGCTCAGAATTCCTTCCATTAGGTTTCTTTTGTTTGGTTCATTTTGGTCATATAAGATATTTTGCCAGTTTCTTCTAAGTTGGAATCACATGCATGTATTCTCAGTCAGTTACATGCTGAAGAAACAAGATGTCTGATCATTATGAAGTTAATTTTCCTCCATTTTTTGCACTTTTGCTTGGTATTTAAGCTAATTTGTCCCAAGGTGAACATTTATATAATTATATTCTATCTGCCATTTGGAATTTTTGGTCCCTTTTTTCCTGTATCTTAGTTAAATTCTGCAGAATAAAGTTTACTTAATGCCTTAACAGCAAAGATTTGGCACAGCTGAAGAGGATGCATATAGGAGGGATTTGACAATTAACAGGTATCTTTCTGTAATTTTGTTTTTATCTTTTTGTTGAAAAAAGAAATATTATATAAGACAAATAAAGAAGAAAAAGGCAAGGAGAAATATAAAAAGAAATTTGCTTAACATTTCAAGTGTTTATCTGCATGGAATGATACAATTAAGAAATATGCTGGCCAATTTCCTTTGTATTTATATGTTTGTTTGAGTGTTATCTAATATTCACCTCCTTTTGAACACATTTAGAAGATATTTTCATAAAAAATTTAGTTGTGCATGGCAGCTTATTCTACAACATCAACACTGACTTAGTTGAAGATTTCACTAAGAGAGGTTAGAATGTATATTATTTCCTAAACTAGTATTTTAAGAGCTACTTGTTTTTCCATCTAATAATCCCTTTGGGACTTTGCAGGGATCTCAGACCTTATGTCTGGAAAGATAGTGACTCCTTTACCTCCAAAGGCCACATTTCTTGATGATCCATTACGAGTTCTTCGAGCCATTCGATTTGGTATATTTTATTTTCATGCTTTATTTGTTTTTTATATATCCTGTGAACCTTTTGTCATAGGCTTTTATGTGAAGTTCAAGCTTATTTTCCCGCTTTATTGAAGAGACATATTTTATTATTTTCAGGTGCAAGATTTGGATTTACTCTAGATGAAGATCTGAAAGGAGCTGCTGCATGTGATGATGTGAAAGATGCTCTAGCTGCTAAAATTAGCAGAGAGCGCATTGGAGCAGAGGTATGTTCCAACTCTTCCATTCCTTCAGTAGAGATAGCTTAGAATATATATATATATTCAATTTTGGAATGCTAGTGGAACTTCTTATTATGAGGAAATTGCCAAATTTTTTTGTCTGTACTGAAAATCTAGCCATTTATGCTCTTACTTTTATGTCTCTGTTTGTAGATTGATCTTATGATATCTGGAAATCAACCCGTCAAAGCAATGACTTATATTTGTGAGCTGACAATATTTTGGATCGTGTTCAGTCTTCCTCCTGTGTTTGAACCTGACATTTCAGATGGATGTGAAAGGTATAGTTCATAAATAAATTCATAAAATGTTTATTGATGAGTTGAAAGGTGCAGAATGATTGCAAATCTATTTATGAATGAAAATGACATCACCTCTTCTGTGGAGTAAGAGTTAGCTGGATATTATTGCCTCTTTGCCAGAAAACATAAGTTAGGTAGTTGAGTGATAACAATAATAGATATTTGTGATGAACTAAATTTGAAACAGTATACCTGTTGAGATGTGTATAAGTGTATTTACATACGATGAAGATTTATCATTATTTTCTCTCCTTTTTTTCTTCTCACATTTTCTAGTGACTGAAGCCTTTCATACAATATTGATATTTTATTTAGCCCATGTATAGGAACTTGACTGAAAAAGATGAAAAGCATAAAGTTGATATGAGATGGCTTTAACCGGATTAATACTTCACTTTCAGAAGTCTCGACAACCTGATTTGATAACCAGTGATTGGTCATTAATTTAGTTTGTAACAGTCATGTTTTAACACGAATATACAATAGCAGATGTAGCTAGTTCGGAAAACCACATAAAATTCTTGACTACCATCTAGTCTCTAGAATAAAATCAACTTCGGTAAAGTTATATAGACATGGCTGGACAGATATAAAAATGAAGTGCTGAAGACCCACAAAACCTGTGAAATAAGATTCGGCCTGACTTATATAAGATTGTACAGAGCCTTCAATGATGGCAGAAGTTTAGGAGAAGGAAATAGATACCTAATCTAGATTGTGGAAGTCATCTGGTATGACCCCGGAAGAATAAAGGGAATTGGGTCAGAACTAGTTAGATGGTTGGATATATTTAGTTGGTTGTTAGTATCTATTGAGGGGATAGGTGGTTAGGCACAGGGGTTGAGGCTTAAATAGCAGGACCAAGGTAGGAGGGAAGCATTACGGAATTTAGATTGGAAAATTGGGTGAAGGCTTTGGTATAATTCAATAAACACTACCAAAGTGTTCTTCTCCCTTTTCTTTCTCTGTTTTTCTCGTCTCAACCTCTGAAAACTTAGAACCCATTTCTGGGTTCTTGATGGCAGCAAGGGTGTCTTTAAGTTTAGGATGGTAGCATCGTGGCCTGAAAAGTTAAGGTATATTGATTTGCACAGACCAAAGATTTTTTCCTGTCATTCTTTGCTTGACCACTTCTTATTTAATCTTGACTAGCGAGGGTAGGATGACGGCGATTATGCAGTCTTACCCTTAAATAATTTTTACTTTCTTTTTCTCTTATTTATTTTTATTTTCACTTTATTTTATTCTTTTTAATTGTTTATTGCTATTTTTTTAATTTATTTTGTTATATATATATTTATATATTTACATTTTTTTGTTTTTCCCCCCAAATCTTTTCGTACTTTTCATTTGGGATAAATGTGATGTTAATGTTGATTTTGATTCTCTGCTTGACTGCGTTACTGTTCAATCATGATATATTATGTTCCATTGGCATCTTGCACATGTTTGCATATGAGAGGTGGATTTGAATTCTTTCATTCCCAAATGGTTACCTTTTCTATATTTTCAAAATTTTAATACCTACGATCTTTGTGTATTAAAAGTCTAAATATCCAGTCCCGATCATATGCAAGGACCATAGGTTGAAATCTGTCACCTATTTGGTTAGAATGTTATGATTTTTATAATGCTATCAGTCTTGTTAGGTTACAAGTCTTATTGGTTTAGCTTGTTCTGGCAGTATTACACAAATAGTTGGCCTAATTATTAGCATAAAGTGGGACATTGGCTTTGGGTTAATATTTTATGTTATGTATACCCAGTATCAATCTGGTATTATTGTGAGCTCTCTTTTCTTCCTTCCCAACCCAAACCCTATAATCATGCTTAGTTCTTTATTTTGTTTTTCACTATTCTCTTGCATGGATATATGTGTATTTCGTTGGTAATGCTGAACAGGTGATTCTTTCACTTGTATCCAGGCTTTGCATTTCTTTCTTGGATACTGCATGGAATCTTGCCCATTTACTTGGAGATTCAACCTTTACAGTAAGTAATGAGTTAAGCTTTCACTTTAACTATATATTCTTCTGTTTCATTTATTCCTGTTACAGTAGGAAGTTGCATGGTTATTCCTGTACTGCTTTAGGTTTGTTTGGCTATCTTTTGTGCTGATACACAATTTTGCTGTATACCTTAGGCTGAACAAAGAAGGTTAACGCTTTATGCTGCTTTGTTTCTCCCACTTAGAAATATCACTTACACAGAAAAGAAAGCTAAGAAGGTACGTACCTGTTCCTTTTCTATGTAGTAATATTTGTAATATTAAGCTGTAAGTGCATAACTTTGAGCTTTGTGCTTTGAATTGGCACATCTAGCTTAATGTTGATATTAGATTTTGAGCTTGAGGTAGGTGGTTGTTTTGGAGAAAATATCAAAAGCCTACGAATGATCAAGAAATAAAAAAGTTGTGGCTTTAGAAGAAAAAGAAAAGAAAGGAACATGTGCGTCAAGGAAAAATGTGATGACTATGATATGCATTACAAGACTACACGTGTTAGGATCCTAGAGCAGCCAGAAAACCTATGATGACAACGCTAGAGAAAGTTCTTTTTTGTATCTTATTATGACAACATAAATCTTATGTTAAAATCATGAACATGACAAATTTTGATCCCTTCAACCTAAGATGGATCCTTTGATACTTATATTTATATCAAGGGAATTACTTTTCTTATGTTACATAAATTTTTTTTTATCTCCTACACTCACATTTTTCAAATGGGTCCCACAAGAATTTTTTTCTCTCACCTCTAACTTTTTTCTCTCTCCTAACTTTTGTTTGAGCATGAGATAATACTTCTCTTATGCAACATAAGAGAAGTATTACCCTTATATCATTTCATTTGTACTCAGTATTGTCGGACCTAGTCCAGAAATCGTTTGTCTCCACCCTTTTGTTGTGAACTCATGATCCGGGCACAGATTTTAAATCAAAGGAAAAGATGCCTCAGACTGCCAAGAGCCTGTACTTTAGCAACTGGACAATCTCACCTAGCTGAACCACCTCTTGAAGCTTACACTATGAATAGAGGACCAACGATTTGTAAAGGCATTACTTTTTCTTACTTCATTATCCCCGGGTGTTTGTTTGGAAACCTCAATGGAGTAAAAAGGCTTTACTAGCCGAATGTTGTGTATTCTAGCCAACAAAAGTTCATTCCACTCCTTATCTTTTTCAAGCATTATTTCTAGTTTATTATCATTATTTTCCCTCCTAGTTTTTAGTAACCTGGTTTTCTCACAGTCAGTGGTTTGGAAATATTTCATATTAGATTCGATACATAGAATCCTGAAATTGCATTTTTGTTAGACTATCATGTGACAGGATCAAGGATAGCAATCAAATTGAGCTATTTGACAATTTTTTAAGGGATAGGTTGACTCAATTTAAGGCTCAATTCTATTTAGTTCAAGTTGGATATGATACTCAGTTACATAATCAAGCAAAGCTTGAACACCAGATATTGTGCTCTAGTAAGCCAGCAGGTCAGTTCAATATTATGTCCATTATATTTTATAATATCAGAATCTTAATAAATACAATTAAACTTATTTTATTTATAGGGGCAGGATATACTTACCACCAAAAAAGTTTACCATCTTTACAATCAACCTAATCACCATTGATTTTTGTGAATCTAATGGTTATAATTTATTGGGAATTAATAATTAATTAATAAATACGACCCAATAATTTCCAACAAATTATAACTGTTAGATTGACGGAAATCAACGGTGATTGGTTGGTTGTAAATGTGGTAAACTTTTTTGGTGGTAAGTATATTCTTTCCCTTATTTTTAATACTGCTAAAATGTAGAATATTATATAAAATACTTGGTCTATAATATTTAATATTTTTTTGTGTGTGGAGATATTCCAATCGGCTCATCGCTTCGCGACTAGTTTGATTCGGGGCAGGTCCCGGGATTAAGGCTTTAAACCCCTCCCAAAGATAGTACTAGAGAGGATCGAACACATGCTCTCACCCCATCTGCTCAATTCCCTGGCGACAACTAAGCTACCATCATTTGGTTAATATTTACTTTTTTGAAAGCTACATATTTCGCCTTATTATTTCACACGTTTCCTACTTATAGTGAACATTTCAAGATTGTTGAAATATAATGCAGATTTTTTAGTCAGTTTTCGTTCAGTTTCTATTTTTGAAACCTAAGAAACGATTATGTCATCATCTAATCAAATATATTTTTTTTTGTTACCTTGTTGTAGTTTGTAGACACTTCTTATAGCTTCAAAAAAGAATTTTAAAATTATAATTAGATTTTGATGGCCTTTAACACATGTATACCAGAGGAGGAGGAAAGGGAAAGGAAAATGCGCTGGTGGCTGGTACGTGTGTGTGAGAGGAAGGGGAGAAATACTGTTATGAGTAAAGAGAAAGTTGTGGAGGAAGTGTATACCAGATTATACATGTGGAAGCAGGGAATCATAGAGGGAAGTTCTGCAATGATGAGAGAGAGTAAAGAAGAGGAGGGAGAAGAGAGTGGGGGGAGGGTAACAGAATTTTGGGGAATTGTTTGGGGAGGTAAATGTCTGTAAATACAGCACTGAATCTGATTGTTCTTTTATTTGCTGCTTTGCTTTTCTTTGTTGCTCATTCTGCTCAATTTCTGTTACTGAGCAAAGTTATCAAATGCGGATTGCGGCGTGTCGCGGCCAACTCCAAAAAATGCTATAGTGCTATAGTGGGTTGCGGTTGCAGAAATAGTGAAATAGATACATGACATAAATAATAACAAAAAGAAACATTTTTTAAAGGCAGAGGTAGCAGAAGTGACAAAGAGAGAGACGCAGATAGACTAAAAAACCCTTAAAATTTTCCTGTTACACATTTAAATTTAGGACAAATTAACATTTTGCCTCATGATAGCAATATGGCCGTGATTTGGCTGCAAATGTGATCGCAATTGCCGCTATTGCGTTCTGGTGCGACGCGGTGCGGTTTCTTGCGGCGAGGCATCACAACGTCCATACGACGCGGCTCACGATGCTATTGCGGTGCAATTAACCAGCACAACTTCGTCTCGTTAACGGAGAGTTTTCTCCTTTAGTTTTATTTTCAGTATTATTCCAGTTTCTATCAGAATTGAACTGAGCCAAGCCAAACCTTTGTGCTCAAATGCAGTTATTTATTGTTCAGCTCGAACAATCATCCTGGCTGAGTTCCACCGCTAAAGAGTGGAGACTGCTAGGTGTGCTGTGTGTGTTCAATAGGGTGTATGATGATCATTGTACCGTGTCTGTTCTTGTGGTTATTATTTCAAATGACTTGTTGGTTGAATAGCCTAATACGTGATTCTGAAACACAGATTCCTGTTGTCAATCATATTATCCGCGAGGCTCTCAAGCGAAAAGCTAAGGATGCAGAAATGGTCAGTTTCCTTTTATTTCAGTATTACTTACTCTGTTTCATATTTATGGTGGTTAATGTGTTTGTAATTGTTCCTCAAAATCCAGGTGCTTGATTTACACAGAGCATCATATAAATTCTTGTCATTGATTCCTTGTCTTTCATCTGCTGAGGATGTCCAAATTGTTGATCGTGATTGGATGACCGACTTGATTGATGTTCCCGTCTCTTCTAGAGTCCGGGTATTAACAGGTATAGTTTTCTTGCTTTTCTACCTTGGTTTTGCATTGGTAGCATTCTTTTTCTTGTAGCTTAGCTATTGTTGACCTTAATCTTCAGTTAAAGCCTTTTTCATATTGACATATTGTGCCATAGGCTGTAGTTTATCATGATTCTATGTGTTGTAGTTTCAATTTAATTATTGGCTTTATAGTGGAAAGTAAGCACAGGCCACACTCCCCCTTAATTCATTTTTGCAGTCACATTTTTCCTATGTTATAGTTTTGCTTTGGTCAAGCCACAGGCAACACTTTGCCTGTTAAGTAATCAATGTTTTTTAAGCCACTTGACTAAATTGCATCGATAAAAGAAAGAAAAAGAAAAGATGGGATTTCCTTAAATTATGAGGAGTAAATTAGATGAAGTGTTGCACTGTGATTCTTCCCTGCTCTTCTGTGTCTGTTTCTATTGGAAGTTGTTGCTAAGCTATTGTGCTTGCAGCATTATGAATTGTATCTGATATACCTGAGCTTTTATTTTTTTAATTTAGGGTTTCTCTTAAGAGAGCTTAGAGATTTTTGGTGTGTTGCACTGTTGATATCTACAATATTACATCCCATTGACATTAACAGCACTGAGGATGAGTCTTCTCAGTTGGACAAACGAAGAGATCTATTTAATACTGTGGAGAATTCTATAATCAAATTAGGTGAGCTTAGTGGCTTTTTTTGTCAATTCTTTGATAGTATTTGCTTGTAGTTTAAATACTTGCATTGTCTCGTGCTTTATATCTTTTGAAGAAGTCAAGTGCTTGTAGCATTTTCTGTAAATTTACTGCAGCTTCTACTTGTTTTGTCAACCTTATTCATATTAATACCCTATGTTTGTAGAGCATTTGAACTTGTATTTCTTTTCTCTGTTATATCTTAACTTGTTAATGTGTTTCTTTGATCTGAATAATTGAATGCTCAGCTTGGCTAATGATTTTTTTCTTCCTCTGTTTTCCTTTGGATTGAGATGCTTTGCTCTAATACAGGAAAGCTTTGTTTGCACTTGCAGTGCAGTCATATCAAGAAGTTAACTAAAATAAGAAAGCTTAAATGAGTTGTTTAAGGTGAAGTGTGATTGGGAGTTTACATTCTTTGATGTGAAAATGCTCTCACAGACACTGCAGGCATGCAACTGTTTGAAATAGTGGCAGTTCATTTCAATGTGAATGTCAATGAAGTATTTTTTTTTGGTACATTGAAAAGTAAAATAAAAAACAAAATTGATTGCTTATCATGTCATGTCACGCCAAGATGAGATTGTGTTTGACAAAGATGTGTTTACTGTATGTCGATGTTGTCAATTAGTTTGCTAGGCCCCAAATTACTATTTGATTAACACATCTTGGTGGATAGCAGGCCTTGAGAAAGTATGGGACCTAAAACAATTGGTCAATGGCAAAGATGTTATGAATGCCCTACAGCTTAAAGGTGGACCACTCGTTAAGGAGTGGGTAAGTCATTCTGCTTGCTGCATTTTCACTCACATGCGTGCACTCTGCCTAGAAATTGTTTTTTATAACCTGTTTCATTTTCACTTGCAGCTGGATAAGGCAATGGCTTGGCAACTTGCTCATCCATCCGGAACTACAGAGGAATGCATTGAATGGTTGAGACAAACCAATTCTAAGCGCATAAAGTTGGAGTGAGGTTGATTGCCTTGAATCTTGATCACTTGTCCATTCCTTTTCCATGTTATGGAAATAATTGAGAGCACATGTGCCTTGGATGGAGGAAGCTTAGCCAGTTGGCTGAGTGGTGTAGTTGATAACAGGAGTACTTCAAACACCATCACTTCGCTTGAAGTTGCGCCGCTCCCAACTTTATAAAGCCTGGGGAAGTATTATTTATTTACCTCTTTTCCCATACTTGTGAAAGAAGAAAGGGCGAGAATATATACCGTGGCCTATTTTTGTTTAATGATAGTCTTATACTCTAAAGTACCTCACATTATAAGATTGTAACTAGTGTACTCCACTAAATTTTTTCTGAACGGCTCAAATTGTCCATACCCCTCTTGGAACTTGAAGATTCAGTTTTCCATTCTGGAATTAACTAACCATTTGTATTTAGATAAATGTCAAATGACTTGTCAATTCCCTAACCCCAAATGCCCTGGATTCCTTTTAGTTCATACTGCATTTCATCTTCGCAGGAACATCGTGTTGGGAGACATAATATGTCCGAGCACAATCCCTCATTTAAGTATTCAGTTTATTTAACTTGCTGGTTAAACACGTTGCAACCAGCTAACTCTTTGATTACTTCATTCATTAACTCGTTAAAAACTTGTTATTGTTTTTATGTAAAAAACATTTTAACTATTTTTATTCGTTCTATTTTTCAATAATAAAAAACATTTTTATCAAAAATGACTCCAATGATCTAAGGGTGTGCATGACAAACTCCAATAAAAAACATTTTTTTTTTTAATTTCTGTTTATGGGAATAAAAATGGATGAGAAACTTGTTTGGTAAAATCGGTTTATTTTTTTGTTTCCCAGATGAACCGATTTAATTTTTGTGCCGGGAAACAAAAAAAAGGATAAAAAATTTTCTGCTTTTCTCATTCCTAGCACAAAAATAGAATCAGTCGCCCCCCCCCCCCCCTTCTCCCTCTCTCTCTCTCGTACCCCTCACACACCAACACCAAACCATCACCGGCCTTCAACATATCACCAGACCACCACCCTCCTTAGAATTATTTGATTGTGTTTATTATTTCGTTAAAAATTCCCTCATCCCCCACCATATTCAAGTGCTGTGCCCATTTGAAACTGACCCGTCAAGGAAAACAGATTCACGGGTTTATGAATAAGATGGGTTTTTGGTTCGGATCTGTATATCCAGAATGCGATGAATCATTTGTACTTACTACTCAGTTTGGGAATTTGGGGATTGCATGTTAGCTATTTGAGAAAATGCCTGATAGAGATGTTGTTTCTTAGACATCCATGATTGATGGGCTTGTTAATGATGATCGCCCTATTGAGGCAATAAGAATGTTGAAAAATAACAATTAAAACTATATATTAGCATTTGTCGTAAAAAAAACTATATAATAAAATATTATAAACTTTTATATAATTTTTTAAAATTTAAAATTTGGCATTTCAGTTAAAATCTATTGTCATTTGCTATTTTATACAGTTGATGAAATCTATAAACAAAAGTAAAGAAATAGATTTTTATTGTGTTATCAAATGTATTTCTGATTCTCGGAATAAAAAAAAATGTGTTAGCAAACGTAATTCTGATTCTCGGAATAAAAATACAATATGTAATTCTGATTCTCAGAATTGTTCTAAGGCACAGAAATAGAAAAGAATCATTTCTTTTCATAAACAGTGCCAGGAATCAGAATGATTGTTATGCACAGCCTAAATGTTCATGTATAGTCTAAAACTTTAAATAATTTTTTTTTAAGAAAAAGGAGAAAAACAATAAACGAATTGGCAGGTTAACCCGCAAACCTATGGGTTAATTCAGATTGAGCCAATGTTGACTTTTTCTTTGACGCGTTCAAAACACAAGCCAACACGGTCCGAGTCGTTTATTCATTAGGGAGTGGAATGATGCAGATTGGGTTGGTCCGTTACTCCCTCTATTATATATAGTTATGTCATTTGGCATATCGTGTAAGTTTTTCAAGTGGAAGTCATAACACTCACTTGAAAGAAAAAAAAAAAAAAAAAAAAACTAAAGTTCCACAGAGGAGGGGTGGGACTCAAACCCGCTGAACCCCCACTGAACTTGAAGACCCTAAACAATAATATATCACAATCAAACTAATACATTTAAAGGTCAAACACCCATATATGGTCAAAGACCCTGTCTACAAGCACCTACACTCCAACGACCCCACTACTAATCTTGGGCGCATTGTCAAATTCAAATGACTTAAAAAGGAATCAATGCCATAACACTTTGAAGGCCTCCGTTTGTCTGTGTTTCCTCCACCTATTACTTTCTCTTCATTTTTGTTTCTGTTTTCCTATTATGCGTCTCTAACACTAAGAACTTAAACCTTCGGCCATAGCATTAGATGAAAAGTTCCAACAACATGGTTTTGTTTTCTAGTGCTCTGTAGAGTCCATGCTATGTTGCTACGCCTCTGTACCACCCAATTCCACTTTACCTTATTCTTCTAAGCATATGTGACTATAGTTGCAAAACGCAAGTAACAAGGTACATACATGCCTTGTGTATCCATTCATCAATCACTTGTCCATCTTGGGGTGTTTTCTCTTATTGATTCTTTTCTAAGTTCTAATCACAAACGGGTGAATCAAATAGCCAAACCCGGTATACCTGAGTCACAAAGCACAATCAGTCATTTTTATCTTATATATGCTAATGCTATCAATGCAGGCGCTGAGGAGGAATTTGTTTATGCTCATTTCCCATTATCCCTAAACGGCTAAACCAAACAATGTGATAGAAGATTAGAAGCAATGTGCAATATACATAATAATGCAATCCAACAAATTTTTTTTCTTGACCATAGAATTTGATAATAGGCACTTTATGAAACAATTCATGACCTTTACCCATCCATCTCTTTGACATAAAAATGGCATCAACATCGTCACCAGTTTGGACTTTGGAGAGACTTATATCTCAATTATTGTTTTAAATGAAAAATATCTTTTGTTTAACATAGACAGGAATTTCTTTTTAAAAAATAATATATTTGTGTATAAAATTAGGTGGCAAATTAAATCACTGATCTTGTATTCCTCCCCTTCTTCCCCAGCACTCAGTCAGTCACTTCAAAAATGTAGTAAATTTCAATCCATGATTAATTGAAATTGCTTGCTCCATTCCAGGCTTGTCAAAAGATTCCTACTTAATTGGCGCTTGATATGTGAAAGAATACTGAATCATGAAAAAGAAACAAAACTAAAGTAATTAAGGGTTGGTGTGAATTTAAACAATGTTGTTGCCATAGCTTTTGGGGTGATTGGTGGTAGTGGTCGCCTATAGAATATGCATGCTTTCCCTTCCATGAACCATGATTTATCTTTAAAACATCAGCAAGAGGGCAAGAAAGCTACTCAGTATTAGGAAACAAGAGGTTTTGTACCAAAAGAAGAGAAAGCTACACCCCAAAGTGGGGAATTTTTTTTTCCCCCAGTGGCTGCAAAGTACCATTTTTCACTGTTTAATTAGACAGAGAAAAGTAGTGTGTGTGTGAAAAATAATGAAAGTGGACAATGATGGCATGGGGGAAAGCTAGTTGACTAGAAGTACAAGACGACAATATGTATGTGGATAGGAACAGACTCAAATGGGTTGGATCCACCATTACCTTTACTAGCCTTTTTGTCTACCTTAATATAATGGATCAAAGCCAAAACCATGCCTCAGAGTTTGTAAAAGCTTTCGTCTTTGGCCCCACATATCTTCTCCTCGGCTCCACCGTATAGCTCCTGATCTTTTTAGTGAAGCTGGCTGCTATCTACTCTTGGCTTTATGTTAAATATAAGGACTCAATAGGTGTACATTGAAATCATCTGTGTTATATTATACAACCGATTTCAATATATGCCTCTCTATTTAACGTAGTATGTGATGAAATGATTATTGCTCCTGATCAATTAATAAATAAATATTATAAATTTTCTTAACACAGATAGGTGAATGTGTATTATCCACCTTTCATTACCAATGAACTTTTATGTATATTGCAATCTTACATCATGTATTACAATTACGAACACCAAAGAAGGCCTTTCTTTGCTTCTTTTCCTTTTGGAGATTTTGGGATGCTGAACTTTTGCAGCATTTCAGTTTATCTCTTTTTATTTATTCCATTACCTGTAAAATTTCTAGTTTTTTTTTTTTTGGTAAATAAAATTTCTAGTTTTAAGTTGTGAAAGAAACGACATTAGCATTGATTTTTTTTTTTTTTTGATAAACTCATTAGCATTGACTTAGTGGTGAGAGATTTAATAATTTATTTACTCATAAATTCAAAATTCCGTGTCCTCTCAGAAGTATGTGATATAAATCAATTATTTTATATGGCTCTCTAATTTATTTTTTTTGGGTATTTATGGCTCTCTAATTTTGAACCTTTTATGGATTAAAACTTTTTTGTTCTCTGTTTTATGGGTAAACAACCTTTTTTTTTTGTTAGGAAAAAAAAAACGAAAAAAAAAGTTCATTTCAGATTAATTTTTACTACTTAACTTATTTGAGATCAAAATCTACCTCAATTCAATTCCTTATTAATCGGGATTAATGTCGATTTAGTACTCCCTAAACCAATAATTATTGAAAGAAGATAAAATATTTATCTATATCTCCATTAGAATCACGTGAAACTAAAGTTTGCATTCAACTTTATATATATGTCATCAAATTTAGCACTTCTATCACAAAATCAAAGGACCACTCACGCTACCGACTGATTAGGGTATATTTATTTCTGTTTTAAAAAGAAGCTTTTTACTTTTTATATCAATAAATAAGAAATATAAATGTTCATCTCATCCCATAATTAAGAAAAGAACCCTAATTATAATATGTGTAAAATATTTAATAACATGAGAATTTAAATTTTCCTACACACCCTTCGATTTCCGTGCCAACGTGGGTCCTACACATAATTTTTTCTTACATACGGGTCCTACATGCTTTTTCTCTCTACAACATGAGAATTCAATTCTCATGTTGAATGAGAAATATAAAACCCTATATAAATATAAGATAACATGTTTTCATTTTATTTTTTCACCACATTGCTACGGTGTAGGACCAGTTTCAGGACGTGTAGTACCTCGTTAGCTGTACAGCAACAACCCACTTGGAACTTTGGTAGAGAGAATTATAGTACCCCTTGAATTCAATGACAATTTTGAGTACCTATTTCTTTTTTTTTCTTTTTTTTGGTACAGTAGAAGGGCAAAGCCCAAGGAAAAGCGAAAGGAAAAAAAAAACACTAAAGAAAGAAAACTCTTTAATCAGGGGCTCTGGTGCAACTACTAGCAGCACCCAAAATATCAGAGCTGATGAGCAGTAATAAATCAGCAGCAGGATTTGGGCATAAGTGAGACCCCCAAGGGAGAGTGATAGCATTCTTGGCTAACCAATCAGCACACCTGTTTCCATCACGCTT